CTTCCTCCTTTTTTTCCCCAAAGCCCCAGTAGATAGTTGTGTGTCATAGTTGCACATCCTGCTAGTTGCTGTACGTGGAACATGGCCTTAGCATGGCCGGAGAAGCGGTGCGTCGGTGCACGCCCGGGATCCGAACCTGGGCCGCCAGTAGCGGAGCGTGCGCACTTAACCGCTAAGCCATGGGGCCGGCCCTATTTTTTAAGTTTTTAAAAGTTCTCTACTCAAACATTGTTGTTTGGTTAGTATCTTTATTAATGGGAAATTAAGTCTTAAGTTTGACGTTTATTAAGTGGTAGAAATGAAAATCTGACCCTTGGAGTAGTTTGTTCTTGTTTTTAATATATGGCAATTTTAAAATTTATCTTTGTTTAAAGAAATGAACAAAACTTTCGAATCCTCAGACTCACTGTTGACAAGCCCTGTGTTTCTGCCGCAGCATGACTGACCCCATCTTAGGATGTTAGAGTTAACTTCACTAGGTGCGGCAACTGCAGGAGCAGCTCCGTGTGCGTAGTTAGGACCTGAAATAGAAGAGCCGCCTGCCCCGAGTGGGTGTTAGTATTTGTTTTCTCTGTAACCACTTGCCGGCCCCCACCTTTGCAGCTGGACTAATCCACACCTACCTTTGTCTACCTTTCTCACTCCCCAGTGAGGCCTCTGCCAGTGATCTTGACCCAAACGGGCTGTTTCCTGCACACGCCTCCACTACACAAACCCATCAGCCTGAGACACTGACAGAAAGTACCAGGGATTGAACCAAGGGAATGGTGGAATGGATCCGATTACTGGCAGAGAAAAAGGTGTGACCGGAGTCAGTCCCTAATTACTGATCTCGAGGCCTAGTCTTGTGCAGGGTCGAAAAAGTAGAGGCTCTGTTCTCTTGGTCTTAGCTGAAGTAGGTGTGTGAGGCCAGCCGATATCCGTTGACGTGGCCGCTTCAGTATGGACCGTGAGGACGCGGACAGATGGGTGCACAGGAGGGTTTGTCTGGTGATGCCTGATAGAAGCTTTGAAGCAGCAGCGAGCCCGGGATGTGAATTCATCAGCTAGAGGTGGGGGTAATGGGTGCTTCCCGTGAAGATTTGGGGAAGGATAGAGTCCATTTGCCAAAAAGATGATTCTTTGTACTGGTGTCTATATTCCTAGGCCCTGCCCACTATCCTCAGTTTACATTCGCTTGTCTGCCCAGCACAATTGCAAGAGCCCCAAAATAAACCTGCTTCTTCTTGGAACAGGTAACTCCCTTCTCCACCCACCAGCACCCCCACCTCAGACTCACCCATCTGGTGCTAATGAGAATAAGTGCTTTGCTGGGTTGAGTCAGGAAGGCAGGCCCAATGTCAAGTATGTGCTTGGTGACCTGGGAACCTAATGGATTTGTTTTGTTATGTCTAATTCATGAATCTGTGTTCTTACTAATCTTAAGTGATTTAGATTTTGAAACCAAGGAGGGTTATAAAAAGCCCATTTTTAATTTTCTCTTTTTTGTTAGACCAGGAACTATCAAGAGAGGACTCTGGGATCATTTTGCATTGCATGATAATCTCTTTTTATAAAGGTACTGTCTTAGTCCATTCAGAATATCAGAGGCTAGGTGGCTTAAACATTTATTTCTCACAGTTCTGGGAAGTCCAGAAGGGAGGGAAGGGAAGTCCAAGAGGCTGGGAGGTCCAAGACCGAGACACAACAGGTTCAGTGTCTCGCGAGAGCTCACTTCCTGGTTCATAGATGGCCGTCTTCTCGCTGTGTCCTCACATGGCAGAAGGCAGGAGGAGCTCTCTGGGGTCTCTTTTATAAGGCACTAATCCCCTTCATGAGGGCTCCACCCTCCTGATCACCTCCCAGAGGCCCCGCCTCCTAATGCCGTCACACTGGGGAATAGGTTTCAGAATATGAATTTGGGGGGAGACACAAACATTCAGTCTACAGCTGGTTCTAAGTGGTTAGTTTCCTCCGTTTCTGCCCCATGCTATTTCTCTGAAGAAATGGCTGCATTCTGCTAGTGTTGAAAATACGTCAGAATTTAAACCTGGACCTTCTACTGAGCTGCTGCAGTGGGAATCGTGAAGCCTGTTGCAAATGATTATCCTGTGGGCTACACGTCCAATCAAATGACGCACTTTCCAGTGTCTGGTAATAAACCACCGTGGACTAAAACATGGTTCCGACTCAGCCCGGTAGGATGGCAGAGTGTGGAGTGTAGTGACGGATTTCTGGTTACGAGTCGATTTCTCCTCTGCCCTCCTTCCTGCTGGCCCCGTGAGAGAGAGCTGTGTGGCCTCTGTGCCTTACCGTTCAGGAGCGGCTCCCACGTGGCCCCATTCGGTTACTGTTGGGAAGAGGCAGGTCTGGCATGGACCTGGATGTCACCCCTCTCCTCCTACGTGGTCCTCCCTAGAGGGAGTTGCAGCCACCAACCATGCAAAATTGCGAAGAATCACAAATAAGTCCTGTACCTCCGGAGCAGTGAAACAGGCTGCTGAGGTCCTTTAAACGCGCTGTTCTGGTGCAGAAGGAAACAGTCAAGACCTGTTTGTATTAGCATGTGGTATGTTGTAAAGTACAGTTGGGTGACCCTGATTTCAAACTCAATAGGGATATTTAAATTCGAACTAGGGAAAAATAATTTCTTTTTAATATTTTATATTTAGGTCGTCATTAACTGTGTTCTCCGGGGCACGCTTGGTGCTGTGGAGTAGGCACTTGGCCCATGTCTGTGTCTCCCCAGGAGAATCGGCATGCCGTGGTGACAGAACATGGGCCAGGGCATCTGCATTGCCCTGACTTGTTATGCCCACCCCAGCCCAAACCCCTGGGACAGGACTTACTCCGCTTTCTTTTGCCTGGCGCCACCACCTGAGTGGGAACTCGAGGCAGTGGTGGGGCTGCCAGCTGCCCCCCTGCCCGGCCCCAGGGAAGAACGCGCAGTGCCTTCGTGGTTCAGGGACGTGGCGGCGGTGGGCGGGTGAGGACAGTGTCTTATTCTTCGTCAGCCCTCCTCGAGCCTCCCAGGCCCTGAGTGAGAGGCAGTAGGAGGACAGACCGAGCGGAGTTTCAGGGGGAGGAATAGTCATAAATCAGGTAGGGTTGCTCTCGGCTCCGGCAGCTCTTTCACTCACCAGCTGTTTCCTGTCCACCGTGGGAGGAGGCAGGATGTGCAGACCAAAGCAAGAAACTTACGGCGCCAGCGGGAGGGAAAGCTGCCTCACACCTCGCTGGCCTGTGGCCTTCCCCACGCGGAGCTTTGTGTGGAAGGGGAGAGACCTCGGGCCAGCTCAGTCAGGAGGTGGACCCGGGTGCCTGGGAAGCAAGGTTTCCCTGCCGGAGCTCCGGGGACCATTTCTCTAAAGCAGGAATCCAAGTGTGTGCCAACAGCACTGTAACAATAAGGAGGAAGAGTGGATTTGCTAATCATAATCTGTGCTTTAATGGGAAAGAAGTGTGTGTTTCTATCCCCTTAAACAAAATGCTGTCTTTTGAATCATCCAGAAGGCCTTCATTTTAAATGGGCAGGTTGATTCTTCATTAAAGGAAATTTACTCCTTGCTTTCTTCCTTTAGGCCTGTTGGAGACAAGTCGGGGAAGATAAATCAGGAGCTGGTTGCTCCTGTCATTCTTCATCTTTTTTTTTTTAATGAAGTCACAAGCTCAGGCCGTAATCTTGTACCTTTCTGATGATCTTTCCTCCTTAAAAGTCCAGAATGTCCCCCTAACGCATGTGTGTGGCTTTGCCACTTGTGTAAGAGTGAAGACCTGGCGTGGACCCTCCTAGGGTCTCTCCACAGAGCCTTACATAAGGGAGCACATGGAAACTGGGCTGTCCTAGCTGGTCTCTGTCCCTCAGAGGAAGGCTCAAAGTGAGATCTTAGAAAGCGCGTCCTGTGTGTGTGTGGTAGAATTAATTTTCAACATTCTGCTTTTTAAGGGAAACTTTTGCAACTTTAGGGGAAACGTTTACCACTTCCTCTATTTAGCTCCATTTAAGTCAACATTTGAACACCCTTTAAACACTTCTTATACTCTGAGGGCCATTGCATTTGGTGGTTCAACACTTCCTCAAACAGGACCACGGATGATTCTAAAAGTGCGCTTCTAGCTACGGAACAGTCTCAGATTGTATCAACATTCAGTCCAGAGAACATCTAGAGGATGAAGAAAGAACTCATCATTCCACCACAGAAATCCAAACTAAAGATCTCCTCGTTCTAGACTGTAAATGAGATCATACAAATGTGTGAAGTAATGATGGACTATTAGGCCTGTTTCCAGAAACTGGAACATGTTTTGTCATATGCCTCTTCTCTTAAAGATTTACTGTCTTGGGCCGGCCCTGTGGCTTGGTGGTTAAGTGCGCGCGCTGCGATGCTGGTGGCCCGGGTTCGGATCCCGGGTGCGCATCGAGGCACCACTTCTCCGTTCATCCTGAGGCCGAGTCCCGCATACAGCAACTAGAAGGATGTGCAGCTACGACATACAACTATCCACTGGGGCTTTGGGGGGAAAAAAATAAAATAAATAAAATCTTTAAAAAAAAAAAAAAAGATTTACTGTCTTGAAAGACAATGTCTAGAGTGCGTTGGGCCATCTCTGTTAGAAGCAAAACTGTTCACAGGAGCTTCATCTAAAATTCTAGCTCTTGCCCCTTCCTTCCCTGGTGGTGTGGCCTGGAGCAGGCCAGTCTCCACATCTGGAAAGGCAGGGATTAGCCTGGTCAGAGGGGCCAGCACCCAGCCCATGCGCAGAATCAGTCAGGGGCGCTTTGAAAACCGCAGTCTGAATTTGGATCTTGGGGTTGGAGCTAGAGAAACTGCATTTTTAAGTTTTTTTAAAAAATTGTTTTTAATTTTTAAAAATACGTGTACACTATTAGTCTTTTTATTTTGCCTTCCTGTTTACACAGAGGAAAAATAACACTCATGTTACTCTTTTAAGTTCTTCTATTCACCAAATCAGGGTTCCTCAATTAAGACTGAGCCATGAATATTTTTCCTCCCTGACAGGGTGAATCGGTGAAGTACTTCCTGGATAACCTGGACCGGATCGGCCAGCTGGTGAGTAGAGAACCCTGCCCCAAGAATCTGTCATCAGGGTTAGAAACACCTGTGTGGAGACCAAAGCATTCCGGGTCATGAGGCCTTTCCTCGTCCTTCTGAGCCACATTTGTTGTGTCAGATGACTATGAATGGTATCATGATGTGCTCTCGCTTAGATCTGAAGTTTGTTTGCGGGGGGTAGGGAGGGAAAGTGAGTGCTCAGTGGTGAGGATTTCCTCATTCAAGTGGAGGAAATTCTCACATTCTTACTTATAAACCTTTAGTCACTGCTAAATTAAGATGTAAAGTCGTGTTTCTATTAGATTTCCCTTGCCCAGATCACTGTAAAGAAGACAGGAGTTCTTTAGTAAACAGAAGATTTCCTTTAACTTTTTATTATGAAGAATTCAAACATATACAAAAATAAATAGTACAGTGAAACCCTAGGGTCAACAATTATTACTCATGACCCGTTTTGTTCCATTAGCCCCACGCCACCCCCAGGAACAAATCCACCATCATATCATTTCATCAATAATATTTTAGAGTGTATCTCTGAAAGAGAAGGGTCTCAAAGTCATAACCACAATACCATTATTGCTCCTAAAAAATTAGTAGTAATTCCTTAGTATCAACCAATATCCAGTCAGTTTTGAGATTTTTCCCAATTGTCTCATTAATGTTTTCTTGTGAGTACTGCTTTACGTTAGCAGTTAGAATCAACTTCCTAATATAGTCCATCCACCACAATTGGTCCATGTCACTTAAATTTCTTTTAATCTATACATTTCTCCCTCCATCTTTGTTTTCCTTCCAATTTATTTGTCGAAGTACCTGGATTATTTCTCCTGTAGAGTTTTCACGTCTGGATGTTGCTATTCCATCCATGCAGTGTTACTGAAAGTGTTTCTCTGTCCGCTGTATCCCCTGTGAGTTGGTAGTTGGATCTAGAGGCTTCATCACCCCTGTTTGGTTTTGGCAGGACTGCTGCCTGAGCGCTCGTGTGCAGTCCTCGCCGGGGATTCTAACAGGGTAGAGTCAGAGGGCTTTGAGAGCCCCTGCAGTCGCCTGTGTTGCTCAAGACTTGAAGAGTTCTCCAAGAATAACATATTAAATATATTGCAGACTAAATTTAAATAGCATTGCAAAACCTAAATTAAGTTAGTTCATAGTAAGGTTTTGGAATGCGTGTGCTCTGGAAGTTAGAAAAATAAAAAGGTAGCTATGGTGCAGAAACAAAAAAGATGATCAGTTTCCTGTGGAGAAGAAAATGGACGAGGTTGTACATCGGGACCAAACAGTGAGGATTCTGATAGCTCCTCCTCAGACGCAGGAGCCTTTGTTTGTTTTGAAATGAGCTATTTAATTCCTTCACTGTCTGTTTCATGGTAAATTTATAATTTTATAAATGCAAGTTGCTTTTGGTATTTGGTTCAACTTCTCACAAAAGTTATTCTGACTCTCCTTCCTTCCATCCCATCTTTTGTTCTTATTTTCTTATGTTCTTCTTCTCCTAAATTTCTCCCTTATGGTATATTTTACAGAATTACTTTCCTAGTAAGCAAGACATCCTACTGGCGAGGAAAGCCACCAAGGGCATTGTGGAACATGACTTCGTTATTAAAAAAATCCCTTTTAAGATGGTGGATGTGGGTGGCCAGCGGTCTCAGCGCCAGAAGTGGTTCCAGTGCTTTGATGGGATCACATCCATCCTGTTCATGGTCTCTTCTAGTGAATACGACCAGGTCCTCATGGAGGACAGGCGCACCAACCGGCTGGTGGAGTCAATGAACATCTTTGAGACCATAGTCAACAACAAGCTCTTCTTCAATGTTTCCATAATCCTGTTCCTCAACAAGATGGACCTCCTGGTGGAGAAAGTGAAGACCGTCAGCATCAAGAAGCACTTCCCAGATTTCAAGGGCGACCCTCACAGGCTGGAGGATGTTCAGCGCTACCTGGTCCAGTGTTTTGACCGGAAGAGAAGAAATCGCAGTAAGCCGCTCTTCCACCACTTCACCACCGCCATAGACACTGAGAACATCCGCTTCGTGTTCCATGCTGTGAAGGACACCATCCTGCAAGAGAATCTGAAAGATATTATGTTGCAGTGAAAGAGGAAGCTCCTTACTGTTGTCGTCCTTAAGCAGCCTCCATGGCCACTGGTCAGATCTCCCCGGTGTGTATTATCCACCTGGTCTTGGAGTGGGTTTCTTGGATCCATGCCATCCAACGCCTGGCTCAGGAATGCTGTGAAGCCAGCCTTGCCAACCTGCTCTAGGCCAAAGGACATGGAAACGTTGACGTTAGCTACTGAATCCTGGGGACTAGTGAAACTACTGAAAATCCTAGTGATCACTTTGGTATTAATTTGTAATACCTAATAACACAGCTTTCTTTCTTTTTACAGAAACTTTATTTCTTTTCTGACACAATTTAATGGAGCATTATGTGTGTGTGTGCGCGCACACGCTGTCTTTAATGACAGAAACACATAAACCAGCTGCCTTGCAGATGGCTTTTCTCTCTAACTTGCGAGTCTTCAGTGAGACACACTAACCCAAAAGCTTTGCCTAACAGTAGTCTGTAGGAGATCAAATGCATGCTGATGCTGCTAAACTCAGAGTGCCCACGCCGGGCCCCGGGCCCCCAGCTGTGGGGTCTCAATGCCACCTCCCAAAGTGAGCGAGTTGCCTTTTAAAACTCTTGTGCCAATTTCCTGAGACCCGGTCCAGGCGTATTAGATTAAGCCAAGGGCCCCCCAGCTTTAGAGGCTGGGAGTGAGAGCTCCACAGGTGTGGACTTGCCTTAATGCCCCACCGTGTGCGCGGTTCTTCCTGCCTTGTCAGAGTGCCCAGCAGCACAGCACTAGGTGGAGATGTGTGGGAACAGTGTGCTGACAGCGAATGTCTGCCCCATATGCACAGAGGTGCTCACTGCTCCGTGCCCATCCACTGGCAAAGACATGTACACCAAGTGGCCTTACAGATGCCCTCTCCGTCTTACCAGTCATCTTCTGATACCTGCAGGTGGCTGCATTCCACGTTTCCTTCTTTTGGAAGTAGTAGAGAGCTTTCTGTTCCTTGCAGGGGCTTCTGGAAGCTGGCAGGATTACTAGCAAAGCCTTTGTTAATGCCACAGCTGCTTGGTGAGCTAACAGCTGACCTTTCAGGAAGCCCACAGACCCCGGAGAAATCTGAGTTTCTCCAGACTGCCACTACACCAATGCCTTTGGACAGTCGGTCCCTGTTCTCAGCTCCCTTGTAAACCTTGATTCGTATCAAGGTCTCCTGCTTCTGTTCATGTACACGTGCATAACAAGTAAACACTACCAGACACAGCTCTCGTCGGGGGAAGCTGCGGAAGGCTGTGATGTTGACATGAGCTGGCAAACCTGACACTCAGTTAACTTGCTCAGTTACCTTTGTCCAGGGGTCTTTCACTGTGTTTAAAAATACATTGCATTCCAAACTGGTCCCCGCTGTGTATTACTCTACTAAAAAAGTCTATCTAGTGTGTTTAGGACTTTTCCTAGCATTTAAAAGAAAAAAAGGGCCGGCTCTGTGGCTTAGCGGTTAAGTGTGTGCGCTCTGATGCTGGCGGCCCGGGTTCCGATCCCGGGCACGCCCCAAGGCACCACTTCTCCGTCCAACCCGAGGCCGAGTCCCACGTACAGCAACTAGAAGGATGTGAACCTATGACATACAACTATCTACTGGGGCTTTGGGGGGAAAA